ATCTTTAGTCAAAGTCGAGCAGCCAGTTAAACAAAAAGTAGTTACAAAAGTGCTTGCAGGTAACACTAAGGTAAGTTCTAAGGATGAGAAAAGTAGAGAAAAGACAAGGTTTCCTCCATGCTCGCTATGCAAAGGGCAGCATGCACTCTGGAACTGCTCCGTGTTCAAAGAGAAAAACGCAACACAAAGGGCTAAATATGTAGCAGAACAAAAGCTCTGTTTTTCTTGTTTACAAGGCAACCATACCTTCCGAAAGTGCCAAAAGGCAAGAAAATGCCAAAACAGGACTGTGAGAGCACTCACAATGTGCTTCTTCATGGAGCCGAGAAAATTTTCCCGCCCAAAGAGGCCGACCGATCACCATCGACTCAAACTAATACAAACACTACTTCTGCAAACAACGCAGCTTGTGTTAAACCTTGTGAGGGAACTGCAAAAGGTATTCTTCCCGTTGCGTTGGTAGATGTGTCCTCTGGTTCGGAAAATTCGAATGCACTAGACTTTGTGACACCGGTTGCACTCATTCTTGGGTTTCCGCGGCACTCGTTGAACGTCTGAAATTAGTTGGCACGCCCGTAAATGTTACGACCGATGGTTTTAACTCAGCCAAGGTATCTAAAACTCAACGAGTTCACTTGAAAGTTTCCGCACAGCCCAATGAAAGTGAATTTTCGTTTTCGTTTGTCGCTTTCGTTAAGCACAACATGTATATAGGACCCGATGTTATAAACGTTTCCGAATTGCAGGTCAAATACCCGCAACTAGCCCCGTTAAAGACGACTGCGTATAATTACAAAGAGATTGAGATAGTTATAGGACAGGACTTCTATCATGCGATAAGACCCCTCGAACATGTCTTCGGAGATGAACTTGACTCACCGTGCGCCGTCCGACTTCCGATAGGTTGGGTCATTAGTGGTCCGTCTCCTGATCGTTCGTCCTTAAATTCTTCTTCCTTTAACTGCGTTACGGACGATACTTCTCTGACCGACCAAATCAAAACTTGGTATGAGTTAGAGTCGTATGGTGCGTTCAAGCAAGTAGATGCCCGTTCCGCCGCAGACAAGCGTGCTTTGTCGATCCTAAAAACTGAAACCGTTCACGATGGTGAGCGTTACACTGTACCGATGCTGTGGAGTGATAATGATGTTAGCTTGCCTAACAATTATTATTCTTCATTAGCCCAATTAAAGTCGTTAGAGAAAAGATTAGATAAAGATCCGTTACTTCGCGAGAAGTATACCGAAACAATCAGAGAAGATATAAGTAAAGGATATGTCATAACCGTCAACCCGCACGATCCCAGCTCACGAGCCGAACGTGAGTGGTATCTTCCACACCATCCGGTTTTGAACCCGAAGTAGAAGTGTTGATCGACCACTAGATAAAGCAATTACTCAACGCACCGTGTTGAGTTTTGTTTCCTCAGTTTTTGATCCAATAGGACTGGTAGCTCCATATACTGTGAAAGCGCGCCTTTTACTAAAAGACATATGGAGAATCAAAGGTCAAAAGTGGGATGATGATCTCCCAGAGGAAATTAAACAACAATTTCTAGATTGGGACTCAGGACTTCCACTATTAGGTACTCTGACGATACCTCGTAGCTACTTTACCGAACCGTTCGACCGCTGTGAACTTCACACGTTCGGTGATAGTTCGCAGGACGTTTTTTGCGCCGTATCGTTTCTCCGAGCCCGACTTGCTAAATCGCAAAAGACCGAGTTAGCTTTTGTATTTGGGAAAGCCCGTATAGCGCCTATGAAGATGCTCTCCATTCCCAAGTTAGAGCTTCAGGCTGCTCTGCTTGCGACTCGAGTCAAAGAAGAGATTTTGAAAGCGCTTACTTTCAAAGTAAGCAATGTTTTCATGTGGACTGATTCTACCACCGTTCTCCAGTGGCTTAACTCGTGCAACAAACTTCCTGTGTTTGTTGGAAAACGCACTGGTGAAATCTTGGAGTCCACCACCATTAATCAATGGAATAATGTACTCAGTGGTGATAACCCAGCTGATACCGGCACACGAGGGATTTCTTCGGAAGCCCTCAAGGATAGCAGCTGGGTTAGAGGCCCTAGTATAATGAGGACATGTGATTGGCCATTCAAGCCGAACACTGAAGTCATCAAAAAGATCCAATTAAAAGGCCCACTCTGTGACATTGATACATGCCTTGAGACTGCATCTACGTTTGTTGTTGATGCTTCATCTGAGAAAGCGCCGTCGATCCGTCTGTTTAAAAATTGGGATAAATTCAGCTCAATTGTAAAGTACAAACGTGTTTTAGCGTTTATGCTTCGTGTGCTACCATCGCATAAACACTTCCGTACAAAAACGCTTGAAATAACCGACCCGTCCGAGTTAGATATTGCCGAGCAGAAGCTCATTTATCTCGCTCAGTCCGAATCATTTCCTGCCGAAGTGAAAATACTTCAGTCCGATAAACTGATAACAAAGAAAAGTCGGATTGCTAAATATTCTCCGTTCATCGGCCCAGCTGGCATCCTGCGTTCAACTGGACGTATCAGCCGTCTTGTTGATACCGACTTTGATAGCAAACATCCAATAATACTGGATGGTCGACACCGAGTTGCTCATATGTTGATTACGCATATGCACTTTCAACATGCACATCAGGGGTTGGATTACATGCGTGCTGTAGTTCAGTTGAAATACATTGTTCTGAAGTTGCGCTGGTTACTTGGGAACATCGAAAATACTTGCATAACATGCCGTAAGCGCAAAGCAAAAACAGTTGTGCCCATTATGTCTGACCTACCGATTGAAAGACTGGGTTACAAGCAGCCTCCCTTCTCCAACACAGGTGTTGATTACTTTGGCCCGTTTCAAGTGCCAATACGCCGAAGTACCGACAAGAGATGGGGTTTCCTATTTACCTGCCTCACGACTCGAGCAGTTCACATCGAGTTGGTTCCATCTCTCGATACTGGTTCCTGCGTCATGGGCGTAGAGCGATTTATTGCAAGGCGAGGTACCCCCAAAACCATTCTTTCTGACAATGGCACGAATTTTGTTGGTGCTCAAAAGGAGCTCCTATCCTGTGTCCAAAATTGGAACAAAGTCGCCCCGGCCGTTTTCGTCCACAAAGGCATTAAGTGGAAGTTTAACCCGCCAAGTGCCCCTCATCACGGTGGCGCCTGGGAGCGGCTAGTGAGAAGTGTTAAGCGAGTGTTGTACGACATATTAGGCAACAGGAGATTAACTGAGGAAGTTCTAGGAACAACGCTCTGCCTAGTTGAACAATTACTTAACGCAAGACCGATCACTCCGGTCAGTTCCGATCCGCACGACCTAGAGGCACTCACCCCGAATCACTTCATTCTCGGTCACAGCGCAGCTAGCTTCCCGTTGTTAAGTTTCGAAGATAACTTTGATTATAAAAAGCGTTACGCCAGAGCACAATCGTACGCTAACGCAGTTTGGTCACGCTGGCTGCGTGAATATGTACCATCTCTCAACAAGAGAGCAAAGTGGCATAATGATTCGGATGTCACACTGAAAACCGGCGACTTGGTTTGGGTAGTCGAACCCGACAGCCCACGTGGGCATTACCCACTCGCCCGTATTGCTAAACTACACTACGGCAAAGAGGGATGCGCCCGATCCGCCGATATCAAAACTGTTACGAGCGAGCTGATACGACCGACCGTAAAACTCGCACCTGTTCTTCCGTCTTTAGGGGCGGAGGATGTTGCAGCGCAAAACGTAACTAATGCGTGAAACATAAATCGTTCAAATTTAAAACTACGACCTACAAAAGAGCAGTTTTTTTTGCACTTTTGCAGTTTCTGCAAAAGTCAAGCTGGTTTTTAATTGCTTCAAAAGTCAAGCAGTTTCGGAAAAAGTCAAGCTGGCGTTGCGTCCGATATACGATGATGTAAGTAAAAAGTTTGAGTTATAGTCGTTTATGACTGATTATGTCCGTTTATACAAAAATTGTGGATATATTCCGATTTATGACCAAACACGAGTATTTACCGAGAAATACGAATAAAATATTGATTTTAACTATGTTTTGTGGAGATTAGCGCACACAAGAAAGGGGGTGGGAGATAGTTAAGTAGATCAAAATGGTTGATTTTTCAACCAACCAGGTTGCAGCAAAATTAGAATTCTCACTACAAAGCACTAGCTCTAATATATGTTCTCATTTATGATGGGGAAGATTCCTAAGTAGGTACCATAGGGGGAAATGTTAAGTAGATCCAGAAATAAATTAAAACTGTCTTAAATTGAAGAAGTCGATAACAATACAATAAAAAAACTAATGCAATTTTAAAAAAATAATAAAAAACATTACATAGTAACAAAACTAAACAGTAACTCTTATTTTTAATCAAAAATCACTCAAACAATTCAATTAAAACAAACAACTCCATTAAAAAATTCAAGGGTTGTAGTCCATCTTCTAATGGAATATAATGGAATATTCGGTAATTTTATTGAAACTGACTATAGAATGGTCAATTTTGGTATCAAAAAAACTGGGTTTTTTTTTGTGCAGGATAGCGCTATGTAAGGTAATTTTTATGCAATTTTTTTGTAGAAAACTTTTGAGTTGGCGCCGAATTGCCTTTGACAAACTGCAAATTGCTTTTTTTTCTGAAAAAAAAACGTTATTTTTATGCCAAAGTTTTACCAATATCCTTTTCTTTCGACAAATTTGGACGAAAATTGTATACTCAGAACTGATCATTTTGACGTCGGAGTTTAGTTTCTCATCGTTGTCCACATGTGAAAACTTAAATGCTGTAGTTTTGACTGATTAAACTCCTCAAGGTCACCGATATTGCCAACAGTTTGGCCTTAACTATAGAATTATTCGACAAAGCTTGAAGCCAATTTTCCAATTTCTTGCCATTCTAACTATGACCTTGAATTTTGGTCGGACTGACCACGTCTAAAAATCATGTCTATACTTCTAATTTTGATTCGTTGCTATGTTTTGTTCTTTTGTTCTCAACTGACCGGTCAGTTATCAGAAAGTTGCTGAATGCTCATTTCGATTTTCAGTTTCTTCAGAAAACACTCGATCAAAAATTTTAATCAATTTTTGTACAATTCAATTTTTTTTTTCAGATGAGCAATTGAATTATATATTTTTTCCCGGCCGCAAAACAAAATAAGTTCTGGAAAATTACTTCAGTTTTTTGAAATTAGATTTGAAGTTTAAAACCCTGATATATATAAACTGATCTAAACTGCAATATTGCTCATTTGAAAAAAAAAACTGTTTTTTTTTTCAGCTGTGAGGATCTATTAATTTGATGATTTCTTTCAACTCAAACCTGGGTTACTCAACCCTTTTTATTATTGTTTACTCGCTATTTTTCACACCGAGTTGCTCAAATGGTAAGAAGAAGAAACTGAAAGGCTTTCTTCTTTTTAAACTCTAAACTTTGAGCAGTTGTAGAACTGTTTAATATTGCGTCATTTCAATTTTTCCCATACGTAATTTTGGCATGTCAGCATTTAGATGTTTTTCACCTTGAAGTAGATGAAAAAAAAATATTTTGAAATGAAGAAAACAAAACATTTTTTTTCTATTTAATTCAGTTTTTTATGATTACTCTTTTCTGAATTCTTAAAAACACTTTCGTCATTGATAAACTCAAGTTCGAAACACATTTTCGGAAATGTTATCATAAACAACCTTTTGTATTGTTTCATTCAAATTGATTCTCACATATCGCTCTTCTTTTCAGCCGCCTCTGTTCCTGAGTTGCGCCGATTTGAGCGCGATAGCAGTGCTGATTCCTCCTGCAATGTACAAGTGGACGCATGTTCCGATCACCTACACAACCAGTGGATGTCTCTGGACTCACTCTGTAGTGATGCGTGTCCAGATGGGAGTTGTGTGGTGACTTTTAATACGCCAGAAGATGATAGAAGTGGAAAAGAGGTGGGGCTGAATTACGTAATGGCATTACACATTTTGTCTTTGTTGTACGGCCCAAAATTCATCGGTCTAATTCTGATGAAACTGACATATGCGAAGCAAATCTGAAGCTCCTTCAAAATATTGTTAATTTTGGGCCTCATTAGGGATAGGATTTAATTGAGTAATTCAATAACTAATCTTTACTCAATTTTCTGGCTTTCACTCAATTTTTTTTTATAAAAAGACCCCTTTATTTAGTCATAACATAAGTTGGCCGGTGTTTAGCAATAAAATATGTCTTTTATGCCGCTCGAAGATTTTTGTGGCATTTCGAGTATAATTTCGCAAAGAAAAAAGATTAATGTACCGAATATTTACCTATGTCAGTCAGAACATTTTTTTCGGGCTAACACGTAATACTTCTTTTTAAAGCTAGGATGAAAAATCGAACCGTTTCGCAGGAAACATCATAAAAATTCAGGTATAAATTTTGATGTTGATATAGTTCGAAATTCCAATTGGTTAATAATACAAAGAAAAAACAGTCAGGACAAAAAAACGGAGGTTTTGAATTGCAAAAAAAACGTAAAAAGTAAGTTAAAACTCAAATTAAACCTAAACTAAAAGTTCCGTTATTTGATTGACTGAACTATTCAATTTCACCGCGCTGTTGCCAATTATAGTTATAATTTGAGACAAACCTTCAAAGAGTGATAAAACCTATCCGAAATGTGTTAGGATCAAAAAGAGCAGACTGATGATCAAACTGGTCATTTCCTGGCGCCCTGGATTCGACTGGACCTGGACATCAGACTTCCACTGGATCAGAACGAAAACAAAGACGACGAGTTGTCCAAACTGTGCCCATGGTCTATTATGAACAACTTCAACACATCTGGTAAGAGCATAGATTACTAGTAACTTTTTTTAGCATAAAAAATATATTACATAAGCAGAATCCAATTTTTGCGTGTTCTTTTCTTCTGACTCTTTAACTTGTATTGTGTCCATGAAGTTGAAAAGTTAATCACCTGAAAGCCAAAAGGCGTTCAAAAATCAGTTAGTTCATGAAACAAGTTTTTCTAGAACTTATGGTAAAGTAGCGAAAAAGGCGTTACAAATGTCAAAAACTGCACCATAAAACTGTAAACTGAGATTTTGAAGAGTCATTCAGTACTTGCTTTTTGTTCCTTTTCAAAAAATAGTTGAATAAAGAGAGGGTTTTTTATTCACACAATTTTCTACTAGCCATTTTTGACGGAACTTAGTACATCCATCCGAAACACTGGGTACTCAGGAATTGAAATTAGAGATAATAGGACGAGAAAGAAATTTTATCTTGAGATACTATGGAAAAAATGAACGTGCGAGGACCAAATGTGTGAAATTATTAGGGGCGAAACATATGAGGGGCGAAATGTGTGATTACCTCTATTATCGTAGGGGGGGACAGTGACAAGGAGGTAAGTGAAGACAGAGTGCTGGTGGTGTTTGAGAAGGAAAGTGAGAATGAGTACTTGAAGAAGAAGAGAGTGTTAGTCACCAAGGGAGAGAGTGAGAGAGAAGCGAAGAGAAAGAGCGTCTACTGCAGTCACATGCAACAGGTATGTTTCACGAATTTTATAGCCCCCCCCCCCAACTGGCCTCAACGAATCATTGTAGTCCACCTGAACATTAAATACAGTTAATTTCCACCCCCTTAGCGATCAAACTAAAACCATATTTCTTCCTCTTGCAATTCCATTGAAATTATTATCCAAAAAGTACAAACTCAACCACCCCAAATCCCCCCCGCCCCCAGGATTCGTAGCAAGCAAATAAAGAAGTGAGGATGCGTTTCACAGGTAGGTGGGGATTCGACTTCTGATGGAAATGAGGGGATGACAAGATGGGTGCAGAGTGGGATGGGATTCAATGTCGCTCATGGACACAGCATATCAGCCACCACTAGAGACAACAGGTTAGTTTCAAATAACCCTCTTGCTAAATTAGTATTTATAAACAGGAGTGTTTGGTCTCACACGCCATCTCGATAGAATATGCCAAACTTTTTACTATGGAGGTTACCTCCGTCAACTACACTTTTTTGATTTGTTCCTCATACTGTAAAGCCAGTTTTTTGGTTGACCACTTTCCGATTTCCTCGTTAGCTCTAAAAACACTACTTTGTAAAAACAGTACTGCTCCGATTTTGTGTAGAATCCAGCAGATCTAAATTCAGAATTTTGAGCAATTTCCGTTAAACTTGCGTACAATAATATTACGTTTTACACAAAGTTCTGCGTTTTTCAATGAGCTTGACTCAAATTAAGTAAAAATAGGCGCCCATTGAAATATCTAAAATTGGTGAATTAAAAATGAGTGTTATCAAAGTATTAGAAAACTATACCAAAGGGGGGACAACCCCTTTGGTATGTTAATGGGGGTCGCACCCTCTATCCGCACCCTGCTCTTTAGAAAGGTGCTCTTTGGGTATATTTTGTTTGCTTAGTCACAAGTTCTTGCAGCTGAAAAGTACTTGTAGCCGACAACACACCACGAAAATCTCGATCATCGAACCAACTCTTTTATTAAGTCCCCTCTACCCAGAATACACGCCCACTGATGAAAACACAGAACTCAACATCGAACTGAGAACCAGCGAAAACTTCGATTCGTTTCATTTGAGCGTAATAGACTTAGGAACTCCTGCGAACGACAACGCCGCCTGTTTTACCATATCAGTTCTGGGAACTTCGCCGTATAATTCTCCTCATACCCATATATGCAGTGAGCCATTAGTAAAAACATCAGTAGCGGCTGAATCATCAGGAGCCGCAACATCGTCAGGAGCCGCAGCATCATCAGGAGCCGCAACATCAGGAGCCACAGCATTCAATAATACAAGACCTTTAATCTTCAGTGCATCGAACGGTTCTTTAATAACAATCAAAATATCACCAAAATCAGAACACCAGTTTCAAATGTTATACCGCTATGTTCTGGCAGTTTTACCAATGAGTTCCAGTAATTCTATTTCTGATGTCCAAAATTCATGGAACATTTCGACTATCAAATTCAACTTTGAGAAGCTATTTTCACTCGATGTTTTATCCAAATTTGCGAGTAGAATCAAACCTCAAACGGACAACGTCTATGAAACAGTTTTACTGAACTTTAAGCAAGTGGAATTGAACACCGATTTGGACCAGATTCCAGCCAACGCTGAGCTGGAGTTTTTGGCTCGCTTTGTCGCAAAACTACAACGCCCATTTTCCGAGGATTTGAAAATTGGAGCCGATATTTCATTGTTAAAAGCAATTGCAATCGTTTCTGATTTTGCATCGACGCCAATTCTAGAAGATTCTGAAAAGATAGATGTGAAAGAGATTTACGGCGTGAACTCAAACTTCATTCACAATTTGTTGGATCTCGTTGGTCAGTCAATTTACGACGCTTCAGAAAAAGAAGGTAAGAATTATTCAAGCTAAAAAGTTGTTGAACAACATTCCGGATGGTGGGGGGGGGGTAGGGGGTGGAGGGTGCTTTGCAATGTCGAATGAATCACAGTAGCAAAAAAAATATTGATAAACTTTTGATCATCATCGACAACCGTTAGAGCTGTAATTTTTGAAGGATTTTTCCCAATCGATAACTGTTTAAGCGGGACTGGACTCGCAACAATCACCGTTGGTAGCAATTTTGTTCAGAAAGAAATAATTTATGCCAAATAACCTTTGTAAAATGAAATGAAGGTTAATGCAGACAAAAAGCAAATATTTTGTGCTTCAAATGAAAACAAACGGATTCTGTTTAAAATCCAAATTGCTAGTATCGTACAGTTCTAAACGCTCCCTTTGTTCAAAATAAAATCTCGAAGGTCCCATAGGAGTGGTTTGACGGTTGAAAAAGTAATAAAACGCAAGAAAAAACATAAGTTTTGCTGTTGTTTTTTGATCTTCAGTAGCGAATATCGAGTAAATTTAGAACAGAATCTAATTACCGACTTACCACCAATGTATTACCTGCTGCTCGAGTGCTTTCTTGGTTGGTTTTGTGAGAAATATCTTAAGCCGGGACAACCTAAATCCCTTCCTCAAGGATCTTTCATTGCTGAGTTCATCGCTAAGTTTAATTATTGTAGATTTCGCTGCTCTTGGTAAAAGAAGTGGTCTTAATACCATCAAGAAAGAATGCGTGAATGTTTACCGCGATTCTCCCACAACAACAAACGATGACTCATCTGGGAAGAATGACTCATCTGTATCGACAACAGTTGTCTACTCCGGACTGGGAAGTAACCTCTTTGCACCTCTATTGCCCAGAAGACATTGTGTGGATGAGATTATAAGTGTAGAAGGGTCAACTCTGGCAATTCAGTTCTTGTATCTCTCAGTTGGATTAACAACCGGTGACGCCAAAAATGCAGAGGTGTGTTGTAAATTAAGAAATGCGAATATTTACTAGCAGCAATTGCATCATTATCGATCACTGCGATTTTTTGAACATTGAATCTGTTTTTAGCCATTAACATTTGAAATTCAGTTATTGTTTTTTTCAGAATTTAAAATAGTGGCATTATGGGTGTTAAAACTGGCATCTGACATCTAGGTTGAAACCTATATTCAGGGGCGGATTTATGGGTTTATGGGGGGTGGGGTAAAGGCCCCCAAATTTTCTAAAGGTACTTATTTTGAAGGAGAGCGCTTTTTTGGCCTGTTTTTCAATAAATTGCCTCCGGCACAAAATAGTCTTCTGGGAGCGCTCGGTAAATCATTTTGAACGAAAAATTTTTTTTTTGAAAATCGCCCCCCCCCCCTTGAAAATCCCAGATTTTTAGATTGTTCCCTTCCTTTATTTAAATCTAGTCTGTGTTATAAAAACTCCTGTTTAGGTCGGCGGTAGATGTTCTCTGGACGAGCTAGACCAACTTTCCAATTACGTAATAATCGAACAATACTGGAACGGAACTCTACTTCAGTCGACTTCATTGTGTTCACGCCCTAGCAGTCAATCTGTGTTCGAAACTCTGACCAATCATGTTCGAATCAAGTACGTGAAAAGAAATGATTTCAAAAACGATCACATTTCAAATGACCTTTTAGAGGCTGCGACACTGGGTTATGTTCTACGGTATACTCCAGTAAAAACATCTGATGAAAATTCTAAGCTTCGGGAAAATATTTTGATTGATGATCAGATTTCAAAATATATGGCTAAACTGTGGCAAGATATTGATCTTCGAGATTCAATTACGATCGAAAATGTTACCATAGAGATTCTGGGAAACACTGATGATGAAAAAAAAACTAATGATGAAGAAGTGGATGAGAAAACAGCAAACGTGACTCAATTTTTACTGGCTCCTTCGGATTTTTTGAGGCAATTTAAGTTTTCAACGGACTCAAGCGACCTTTCGAAACATCTGTTGCGTCATTTTTTGCTTCGACTAGCTAGCAACGGATACTTGAATTCTGTAAAACTGATTCCTGAAACTGAGACCCAAAATATCGATGACATGAACTCTACTTTAGCAGTTGGTCAAGTAATTCCTTCTTGGAGTTCTGCTGTGATTGGTCTGCAAGAACCCAAAGAGTTGAAATCGGATGAAGAGTCTTTTGATGTAATGATTGAGTTTTATAATTTTGTAAACGAATTCCGAAACTTGAAAAACAAGGCTCCGAGAATAGGTTTTTCGTCCTCAGATCAGCCGGAAGTTACTTCCAGCTGGACTGGAATGACTGTTTCTGATCTGAACGAATGCTCCGACATCGAAACGGTTTCACTTCTGCAATCAGTTCCAATTTGCTCCCAATTCACAAACCACTCTACATGTATTAACACCATCGGAAGCTTCAAATGCTTAGCGGGTGATGACATTGAAAATGATATAGTTAACGGATTGGGGGAGAAAGAAAATATCGGAAACGAGGAGTCCGAAAAAGGGAAAATCGACGAATCCGAATCGTCTGGTGGAATGAGTAGAGGAAACGTTGCTCTGACTACAGTTGCAGTCGTACTTGTAGTTGGGTTAATAGTTCTAATTGTGGGTTATTGTATCTACAGAAGAAAGTACCAGACAATTTACCAGTTGAAGAAGGATAGAAAGAGCCAACAACAGATGACTGGAGCCGCTAGTGGTTCTAGAAACATCCAGAACAGGCCCAGACAAGGTCGCAGATGACCTCAAATGAACAAAATGGCACAAAATGACTTCTAAACTGTTTTTTAAGAAGTTATGAACAGTTCACTCCAATATGTGCTGCGCTAATTAAAGATCTAAATTTACTGAACACATGTTTGGCAAACTTGAATTTTGAAAAATCTATAACGAAAACACTTGTTTTGATAGAAATATTCGAAGCATATAAGGGTTATGTTTGCAAGATCTTGCAAGATTTTGCAAGATTTCGAAGATATTGCGAGAATCTTGGGAGATCTTGCAATTTAACCTCCCTTAATCGACTAGTGTTAGTATTGCAGATTAACATGCCCTTGATATTGATTTGTCAGGTGAAATAAATCACTAAAGTACACACGGAATTTCGCAACTTTTTGGCAACCTGTATAAAGCTTGTATTTAAAAGAGCCAATGACAACGGTAACTTCTTACCTAAAAACAAAGTAATTCTCAGTTCACAAAAATTTGTTGATTTTTTGTTTTATGATTTTTTTCTGCCAAAATACCGTCTTTCGAATATGGCAACGGTTCGAACATGGAAACTGTTTGGTGGAGCTTGCCGCTTCTTTAAAATGAGAGCTTTTTTTCGTTTTTTTTCGGAAAACTTTATCTAAATTAAACGCCAATCAGATTTAGTGTTTTAAACAAACACTGAACAAAAGTTCTGGGCTCTTTTTCCTTCCCCCCCCACCTGCAAGATTTTTCTAGTGAAGTTTTGTTCACTTTATCCGAATGTTACAAAAATTGGCATGCGAACTCAGGGAAAAAGAGCCAAGTTCTGCCCTCCAAAGGTGACTAGTCAAACTTTTTTTTGTTTTTCTTGATATGGCGTTTATTATGTTTCTAAAAGAATTTTTTTTTTACGTTAGCCGCTAAATCAATTTTTTTTGCGCATGCAGAAGTTTTATTTTGCATGCAAAATTTTAACTTTGTTGTCTACGTAATACTGACGAAATCATTTTTTGTTTTGCAGTTATTTTGTGTATTTGATAATTTCTTTTAGTTTTGTTTGGCAAAGTACTTTGATTTACTTTTTGACTTTTTTTCGCAAATTCAGAACCTTTGGGCTTACAATTCTGCCCTCCATAGTGTACACTGAATGAGTTTTGAAGGTTGCGTTTCAAGTTCTATTTGTTTTTGACCAAGTCTACATGCTTGTTGAAAAAAAGAAAATTTGGTAAAAAAAGGTCACATCTCGAAAACCAAAAGTATTTGGAGCAGTCATTATTGGTTGGGAGAATTACAACCCCATCGTGTACCCTGAAACCAATCCACCATAAATGAGAATTTCAAGTTCATTTAGTTTGTTATTTATCAAAGATATTTCAACAACTTAAGAATCAAACAAAAATGTCACACCTCAAAAACCATATGATAGAGAGTTTCGAGTTTATTTACTTTGTTTTTTATCTAAATCTAAATTTTGGAACTATTTGAAAAATCAGAAAAAGCTAAATCTCAAAAATGCAAAAGATTTGAGCAGGAACGCTTGGACGCCAATGTTGCAACTTCTGAGTGTACCTTGATAGAACTCCAACAAAGGGTTACCCATTTCAAACTTCATAAAAATTTTCTCGAAGTTTTTTTTTAATTGTAAACAAAACTGCCCAAATATTGGAAAAAAATTTTGAGCAGTCAAGTTTGGCAAACCGAATTACATCACCAATGTGTGTCCGGAGAGCACCCTACCACAGGGTCGAGAGTTTCAAAACATGGAAGATCTGTATACAATATAAGAATTTCGATAAAAGATAGAGAAACAGAAAAAAGCCCCCCGTTTTGTTTTCGGAGGGCAGTCATCTTAGGGTTGTGATTTTACAATCCCGTTAGAATGTTTCAGATCTCGTTTTTTTTTTTGAAAAAAAAACAACCAAAAAACAATCAAAAAAGCGAAATCTTGGCTGTTAAAAGTGTTTGACAAGTCAAACTTGGAGGCCATATGAGCAAACTCTGCGAGTATCGTGAAAAAACCCATCATAGGTTTGAGAGTTTCACGTTCTGGTACATTTACCCCGCCACCTCGCACGAATATCGATGTTATTGTGCAACGAGTAGTTTTACAAGGCTAATTATGAAGACAAGATGTTTTTTCATGGCCCAATTAGTCCGTATGACCAAAAATGTTCAATTACTCCAATATGTTTGCCATTTCAATTTTCATAACAACCGATTTAAGTTAATAAAATATTTATTTTTAACATTTTGCAGATAAGGATAAGGAAAAAGAGCCCGCCTTTTTAAAGCAATTGGATAATGCGAATACTTATTTAACAAGGTTATTTATGAGGACAAGATAATTTTTTCATGGCTTAATTAGTTCGTATGACCAAAAATGTTCAATTAGTCCGATATGTTTGCCAATTTAAATTTCATAACAATTGATTAATGTTAATAAAAACATTATTTTTAGCATTTTGCAGATGGAGAAAAGGAAAAAGAGCCCGCCTTTTTATACCAATTGGATAATGCGCATACTCATTTAAATTGAAAAGATTTGCAGTTAGAGGGGAGGGGCAAGGTGTTGGAACGAGGCAGAGATCTTATACTGAACACGATGTATGAAATCCACACGTCTGTTGAGCTGACTTGTTTCTAAATCCTTTGCTCAGCTTCAAACTGAGTTTATTTCCGAGGTGGCTTTCTCATAGAGTAATTTCGGATAAGGTGCACCGTCTGTTTTTCCCGCTATCTTATTTTCGACCGGATACATTCGTAAAACTTCTTAGTCTAAAGCATATCCTAGTCTCACTCTTATATTTCCCATCTCAAATGATCTAGTATATACTGGTATTTTTGCGAGCTTAGAGGTGAGAAAGAGTAACTGCTTTCTTAGATGATTTCATTCTTCTCTGGCTGAAACTTTAAACAGTATAATTATCAAGAAAATGATTAGATATATTAAAAACTTGTTTCGAACTGGTTCCAAAAGTTTCACTAATCACACCCCGAATTGTGTGTGTGATTTGAAGCTGAGTGATTATCAATCAAGGAATTAGAAAAAAATCAGTTTCTCAAACCCGTCGAACTCATGTATTTTGTTCAGCATAAAAGTTCTTCCTCCTTCCAACCCCCTTCCCGCCTCCTCTTCAACTGCAAATCTTGTCAAATAAATCCAAGATTTTCTCGAGGGACGGGAATGCACTTTCAGAAAAGTCACAATTTTTGTGGACTTTTTCTTAGCTTCGATCACTTTGATTTTCTGAGCTTTTCACAAATATTACCATGAAGATTCCATGTCAACAAAAAACTTTCGCCGCAGGGAGTTTTTGAAGAAACAGGCTAAAAAGCCCGTTTTTTGGCATTTTGGGAGAAGTTTGACTAAAACTACCATTTTTCGTCGGGCGCTTCTTCAAAACTAGTGAAGATTGGCACCAAGGGCGCCTTTAGAAAATTTAAGCGTCGATCAGCCATAGCTGGATGTCCTAAACTGGTACCAAAAGGGGAGTGCGTTGAAGCCCTGTTGAAAAACAATCTCTCCCCCTCCCCCATATAAAGTCGCGCCTGCTACAATTCCAACATTAAGAAATAGTGCTGAAAACATGAGGTACTAAATGAAAGTTTTATGAAGATCAAAATTGAATTTTGCTTTGTTTGCCGTTTGTTAAAGTGTATTTGTAAAGGTTACAAAACAAATTGAAAATGAGAAAATGTTGTTGTTGTTGTTGTTGTTGTTGTGGATTCTCAGAAATACTTCTGATGGGACTGCTCCCAGTTCATTTCTTCTTAAAACGTCTTCCATACATCCCTGCAGTTTCGACAATCACAAAACAGTATCCATGTGCAAGGATTCGCCTCATTGAATTTCGCCATTTGATAGGTCCACATAAAATTCAAGAGTCTGTTTTTTAGCCCCGTGGGATTGAAGAAATCTACTGTTCCAGGTAGATGATTGGCCACCCGAGACAGCCTGAAACAAAACTCAGCGCGAGCTTTTTCTGTGCGGACTTTTTTAAGGCTTAATGTCGGGCCATCATTTTGTCTTGTATTTGAGGCAGACTTGTTGGTTAATAGTCGTATTTGTAAATCGTTTTCACTGTGAAAAAAGCTCGATAGGTTCAATAGATTGCATAGCTGTATGAACATAGTAAGGGGCAATGTATTCGTTCGTTTTAACAACGTTAGATAATCACTCTCATAACTGTTTGTTACCCATTTTAGCGCTCTTTTCTGGAATCGTTCAAGTTTTGATAAATTTGCGCGGCATATATTAAAACACGAAGATGCAAATGTTAAAAGTGGTAAAACCGCTGACTTGTAAACACCCAATTTTACTTTCTGTGAAACCCCTTTTGCCACATTTCTTTTAGCAAAATAGAAAATCTGATTTGCTTTTTTCATTCTCGCCATTAGATGATTTGACCAGCTTAGGGTTTTATCAATATGTACCCCCAAATCTTTTATTGTTTCTACTGATTCAAGCATATGCCCATTGATTTGAATTGAATTTGAGTTTCCTCGAAAAATCAGCTCTTTGCATTTGTCAGGAGCCAACTCCATTTTGTTTCCGTTCACCCAATTTTCTAAAGCCGATATATCTGATTGTATTTCAAATTTGGATAGGCCCGCCGAGAAAAGTTTTAAATCGTCTGCATAAATGAAGGGAGTAGTGAATTTTAGCACTTCTGGCAGGTCATTTATAAAAATGCAAAACAGTAACGGCCCCAGCAGAGACCCTTGAGGAACTCCACTTGTAACTAATTTAGAAGAGGATGATACATTGTCACATTTTACCCACTGCGTTCTGTTTTCAAGATAGCTCGCTAAGACTTCCAAAAAACATCCCCCTACTCCAATATTCGCCACTTTTTTCAACAATTCAAAATGGGGCACTTTATCGAATGCCTTTGAAAAATCGGTGTAATAAACGAGCACTTCATCGTTCGGATTTTTATCCAGCGCCTCGTAAACTCGTTGTAAAAATGCTAACAGATTAGTTACAACCGACTTCTTTTTAACAAAACCATGTTGACTTGATTTCATGTATTTTTGAAAGTGATCGTAAAGTGAAAATGAAAATACCTTCTGTCGTTACGCTAACTCATGCAGTCGGCTTTTTCTGTCTATCCCCAAACGCATTAGGTACATCGTACATCTTCTCGATTTAACTAGTTTTTAACCAAATTGACGAACAAATCAGATGCCCTGACC